CGCCGCGGGGGCGCAGCTTGGTGTAAGTGCCAGAGAAGCCAGGAGCCAGCAGGGAGCCTTGGGGGTAACCAGTGACGGCGGCTGCCCCGAGGCCCGGTGTGACCCAGAGGCAGCCCACACGCTCCAGGGTATGGGGCTCCCCGCTGGCTCCACTCCTAGCCGAGAGCCAGCACACGGCTGCTGCTCTCCAGCATCCCTGTCCTCCTCGCAAGAGCCTCTTTTGGGCACGAGTTTGCCAGCACGTGCCATCATCAGCCCCTTCCTGCTGCAGTACCGGGGGTACCAACACCGCCAGGAGCCGGGGGCTGTCTGGCCAGATCCTGCTGGCGCTCAGCCAGGGACGCCATGGGACGCAATGGGCAGTGAGCACGTTCCACTGCCTGATGACAAAAGATCTATTTTTGGTGACAAGTTGTCATGATTTAACCCTGGACAGCCAGTGAGCACCACAGAGCCGCTAACTCACCTTCCCCTGCTTGGACGGGAGAGAGAATCAGAGGAAAAGTTAAAAAAACCTCATAGGTCGAGATAAGAACAGTTTAATAATTGAAAATAAATTAAACAAGATTGATACTAATAATTAGTAGTGAAAATACTGCTACTAATGTTGTTATTAATCAAAATGAAAAGGAAAACAGCAGTGGGAAAAAAACCAAGTGCACACCACCTGCCAACCACTGCCCAGTCTGTCCTGAGATGGAGAGCAAGAGAGAGCTCCCCCAGCCAACTCCCCCCAGTTTCTGTACTGAGCATGATGTTTTATGGCATGAAACATCCCTTTGGTCTGTTTGGGTCAGCTGTCCTGGCTGTGTCTTGCAGAGAAGCTGTTGGGAGGACAGGGGCAGTGTGAGAAGTATTACAACATTCTTCTCAGCACCAATCCAAAACACAGCTCTACACTAGCTACTGTGAAGAAAATTATCCCAGCCCAAACCAGCACACACCAACATCTGTGGTGGGTGGCCAGCCCAAGTGGTCCAGGCTCTGCCAGAGGGTGCTTCACCAAGGTCACAAGCGCCCCCAGCACCCTGCCTGGCCTGGCTGTCAGTGAGACGCAGATCTCCACAGGAACCAAATCAGGAGCTGTGGATCAGCCTGGAGAAGGTCGTCCCAGCTCCTTTGGCAGACCCAGGTCTGACAGTGTGCCCAGGGGGTGTCAGGCGAGAGGAGGCTCCTGCCAGAGAATGAAGAGCCACATCCTGCACAGCCCCGCTATTGCCTCAGCCACTGCAGCACCTAGAGAGGCAGAAGGCTTGGGCCGATGTCGCCCGCCCAATGCCACGAGTGAAGGGCAAAGTCTGCGGGGCTGCCTGCCAAGCCTTGGAGGGCAGGTCAGGCTCCTGTCACAAGAGCCAACTGTATGGCCTCTGAGCTTGGGACACCTGGTCACAGAGATGCATTATAGGCTTTGTTGGTCCCTGAGAGCTTCCAGCATGCTCCAGCCTTGCTCCACACATGTGCAGCACCCAAACCCCTCACTGTGCCCACCCTGAGCACCACCTGCCCCAGCAGCCTCCAAGAGGGAGGCAATTCCCCTACTCAGCATCATCACCAGGATCTCCCAGCCTGGCCCACAGACTTGGGACCACACACCCTCCAAAACATCTAGAGACCCACACGAACTCCCCACCATCCTTCACGAGGGTCCCATTGTGGGTTGTAGCTCCCCATGGTATCCTACCTTGTGCAAGGAGCTCCCCTGACACACCAGCTGAAGGCACTTTCATCCCATACTGGATCAGTGGCTAATTTGTGGGGAAGGCAGCAAGTACAGACCCCTCAGCAGGGCAGTGAAAGAGGGCTTCCAGACCCAGTTACGTACTCCAGTACGGACTGGGCACCAGCTGAGCCACCAGGCAGAGGTACTGGTGAGCCCTGACCAGGCCAAGAGCTGCCTCCACCCGCTGAACCCTGAATCCAGAGGAATCTCCCTGTGTCACTGACACCAACACAGGCCTCCTTGGCCATCAGGTGCCATGCTGACTAAGGTCTTCCCCTCCCAAGAAACCCCACAATAAAAGGGGAAACAGCTTGCTTCCAAACCCTTGGATGGCCACTGGAGACCCAGAGACAAGGTCTGCAGCCCCACTGCCGGCCGTAACCGTGGGGTGAGGGCAGATACCACGGCTGCAGGAAGAGGAGAAAAGAGGACCAGAAAGACAAGGCAGCTTCATCCTACATGGATGGCCCAATGTTCCAGGGTCATGCAGCTCCTTCCCAGCCTTACCTAGTGCTGCCAGGGAAAGCACTCCCCGTGCCAGCCACGACAGGAGTCACCGCAAATATCCTTATCAGTGTCTGCGGGCCACAGCAGCACAAGCTTGCACTAGCCCACGTGTTGGCAAACAGGCAAGGCACAGCACCTGAGCAGAAAAGGTCTGCAGGGCAACCACAGGCACATCCACATCACGTGCCTGGAGCGGGGCAGCACCAAGCACGGACGCTGAGCCCTTCCGACAGCATCGACTGCCCCACTCTGCCCCCCCAGACACCGAGGGAAGAAGCAGCAGCACCAGGGTTCTCAGCTCCAGAACAGGACCTCGACACAAGGACCCATGTTAGTGGCAGGGCAATCGGCCACTCTGACCATGTGGGCCCTAGGACACCAGGCACTCCCAGCGGATCCCATCCCTCACCCACTCCAAACACAACATTCCTAACACATCTGGTCAAACTCTGCCCCTGCCAGGCTCAGCCCAGGGAAGGGGGGGGAGCCCTCTTTGCCACCCTCCTTCCCAGGCCAGGAAGAGGCACTGCAGGGCATCTCCTGTCTGCCTTCCATGATCCAGAAGCAAAAGCCAGAAGGTAAAGAGAAGTCAGCTCGTCACAGGATACAGACACAAGGGAGCTGAGTGCACCAGGCTCTGCTCAGCACAGTATTTTTCCACCTCTGCTGTCAACCCGCCAACGTGGCCCAAGAAGCCACTCGGCATTATGTTTTCATGGACAATTTCCCCCAGAGCAGGTCCCTGGGAGCACCATCTTGCAAGCAACAAAACAGGGGCAGGTACTGCATGGCCCATGGGGGTTCCTAAAGCAGGGCCAGTCACCCCCACAGCAGCAGCACTGGGCGAGAGCTATCAGCCCAAGCACTGTGCTCCGTGCCAGCCCCCAACACGTGTGCCCAGGCACACGCACAGGGCTGCTGGCCACCCCGCCATCCCTCCCCCCCACAGCATTCCTCCACGGTCACACTAGCTACTGTAGAATTACTGGGGAGCCAGGCTGTCTGCCACAGACAAATGCCCACATGCTGTTTTCTGGAGACCCCAGTGCCACTGAGCATCAGCAGCCAGGCTCCTCAGTCTCCAGCAAGTTCCGATGCACTTTTGCTTGCTCCTGGTCCTGGACCGTCCCCACCAGAGTGCTTAGCTCTGGCTGCAGCCATCAGGCAGAGCACCTCCTGCTCACTTCTCAGTCTGAAGAGCACCATGGAGTAACTGTTTCATCAGACAGGAGCCCTCAGCACACACCAGCTGAGGTTTTCGTCACTCTCAGGGGATGTCAAAACTACAGGGAAGCGCAGAAATACATGGGAACACTAGAAACAAGAGAAGGAGTATGGATGAGGACACAGCAAGCTGAAGACACTTTGTGCTTTCAACCACAGAGCTGCAAGTCCAGAAGGCGCCTCAGCTGCACTTCCTGTAGGCAGGGGATCTGCCAAGGAATGCCTCACCTCAGGGTCACGGACATTGGCCTCTGCTCCATAACCAGACCCATTATCCTGCTGGTAACTTGTTCAGCAGAAGCCATCAGAAGACAGCCAGCTGTGCTCACCCAATGCCTTCCAGTTAGCAGGATCCAAGAAACCACCTGCTTTCAGGTGCCTTTCCCCCCACGGAGCATCCTCTGCAGACCCCTGCGACTCCTGGTGCACATCTACACGGGATGAGGTCCAAGTGCCTGAAACACAGCCAGGGAGCACCCGAGCTGGGAAGCCAGGTGCGGACCAGGAGAGCTCGCTGGCACCACCGCGCACACACCTTACCGTGTGAGGGTTGTCATAGTAGACGCCGATGGAGCACAGCTTCGAAGAGATGCTGCAGCCGTCCGTGAAGAGCTGCCCGGACTCGCCGTAAGGGCCCACCCTGAACTTGTAGGCCAGCGTGATGTTGCCGACGGGCGGGGAGCCAGCACTCACTACCACCTCCGTGAAGAGCCCCGAGTAGACAACGAAACCGAAGATGGTCAGCAGCAGCAGCGTGACCACTGCTGCGATCAGCCCGAGGAGCGCCCAGTCGGACATGACGGACACTTGGTGCTCCACGATTCCTGACACGCTAGCGGCAAGAGGGGAGAAGAAAAAGGAGGGGAGTTAAGTTAGTGCTTGGACAAGCAATCCCTCTCTAAAGCTATTTATTTGCAGCAAAACACACCCACTTCCAATTCCTTTTATGCGTGAAGCTTAAAGAGAGTGGAGCCCCCCCTCCAGACCTCCTGTATATTAGTCCCCTGTTGCATCAGCCTGCTCCAATTGGTCACCAGGTACAAATTACACTGCTTCGGCGCCTCTCGGGAATGAGGTGGTTATGGAGAAGGGGGGCGGAGAGGCACTGTCCCCATCTCCCCAGAACCAGCCACACCACTCACACCCAGCCTCACATCCCGGAGACCAAAAAGCACCCTGCAAGCCCCCACACCCAACAGATACACAGCACTAGGATTAGGGGACCAGAATCAAATAATTCATGATTTATAGATACCAGACCCAACATTGTAGCCGGGGCAGCCCCTCTGTCAAAAAGTGTCCAAGCTCAGGCCTGTAACGACCTAAACGAGGACCAGGCCAGTTCAGAGCTGAGCCTTGCATGTGGCTCCAAGCACACAACAAGGCTCAGAGAAAGCTGAAGACCCAGCCAGAAAAACCATCCTCAATGCACGTGGGTCTAATTCATTACCACTGTCTTTTTTAGATGACTTTTTTTAACCTAAAGGAGTTTTTATAACCCCAACCAAGGCTTCCTGTTTTGTTTGCCATCCTTTCTCACACGCTGACTGCGGGACACAGCAGCCTGGCAAATGCCTCCTGCTTGTTTTCACCCACCAAGCGCAATCGCTCGGGAGAGTTGCAACCCAGGTCGTTGCAGGAGAGTTGTTTGTGTTTTATTCCCCCTTGAAACGCAGCTCTGGTCTCAAGGACTGGTTGTGACGGTCCCCTGGGACCTCCACGGGAACCAGGTTTGAAAGCGAAGGTTGAAGTAAACAATTCACCTTTACTTCCCCGTTATAAACACACTTTGTCCAAAAATAAGTCACTCGTGGCAGCTGCTGGTTGCTCAGCTTGACAGCGAGAGAAAAGCCACATCCTGGTAGGAACCATGGGCGGCTCTGCTCCGCTTGACCCTGGAGAGCAAGGGTGCAGCAAGGCCAAGCCCTGCAGAGATGGCAGTGCCAGGCCGGGCACCGTCTCACGTCAGGGCCCTACTCACCTGACAAACACAGCTCAGCCCAGGAACGGTTCACGACATCTGACCCACAGGGGCGTGGGATCCGCGGCGCTGCAGCAGGAAAAAATAAGTATCATTGCTTCCTTTCAGACTCACGAGGCCAAAAGCAAAACAAACAGCCACGGCAGAGCACCCAGAGGAGCACTCGGAGGAAGGGCGTCCCGGGGAGCACCTTCTGCTGCAGGACCCCGCAGGCCAAGACTTCTTCCCAAAACCCCGGGCACCGAGAAACACGGAAATTAGAAAGGAATGGCAAAGGCGGACTAAGCCCTGCAGCTGTGCCTGCTGGCGGGTCCCACCCCGGGCCGTGCCCCAGCTCCCCGGGGACACCTGCACCGCACCGGGCGCCGGTCCCGGGTGACCGGCAGTGGGGCTCCCGGTTCCGTA